GTAAGTGATCGTCTAGACTATTGTATACACTGTATGAACATCAACAAAGTTGTTAAAGGGTATTCATCTTTAAGAAGTGTACAGGGATAAAGGGTTACTTTACAAACAACTGAATGTATAGTCTAGAGGTTAAAGCTTTGCACCCTACCAATCACTTTATTTTCTGTGCTTTATCTTTTTCTACACTGTTTGTTTGTAGGGTAGCTAAGATACAGAGCAGGCACAGTGACCGTTGCAAGCTAAGTCCAGATCTAAGAACACCAGACTGTAGGCAATAGCATTCCTTTATAATTTAACTTCATTCATTCATTGACATACCAAGATACGTCAATGACAGAGTTACTGTAGGATGAACACAAAGACAAAGTGAGAAAGTGATTACTCACACCACTCACATGTCTCTGGAACTGGCTTGACACAATGGCATTCTGACAGGGCTGTCTGACTCATCATTAGCTATGTCACAATGTCAGAGCAGACGAAGCTGCAGCAAGCCAGCAACCAGTAATCCTGCAGTGCTACTTCTACACCGCAGCTCAGCCTACCTCTCTCCTTATCTGCAATATATATTTTTTAAATCCAATTTCATGATGCCACATGTTTACGGCACCTTACCCTTAACCTAAGACAGCTAATCAAGGTATTGATTGTTAGTTGATACTTAGTTGATGATTAGCTGATAAACTCTGTCAGGTGTGTAAGTGCTGAGCTGGAATAAAAGCCTGCACACCAAGTAGCTGTCCAGCACACGGATTGGTGACTGGGTACTGATAGGTACTTCTCCAGGTGTGACCTTGACTGGAGCTCTGGTCTGCGGTGGCTGCCTGCGCCTCGCTACAGTGATGCTCCACTCCCTCACATCAAACTGATCAAGTTCCCTGAGGAGACCAGACTGCTGAGGTCCTTCCCACGTGAGTCACTGGGCTTAGATCATGTACAGTGAGGGAAAAAAGTATTTGATCCCCTGCTGATTTTGTAAGTTTGCCCACTGACAAAGATATGATCAGTCTATAATTTTAATGGTAGGTTTATTTGAACAGTGAGAGACAGAATTACAACAAAAAAATCCAGAAAAACAATGTCAAAAATGTTATAAATTGATTTGCATTTTAATGAGGGAAATAAGTATTTGACCCCTCTGCAAAACATGACTTAGTACTTGGTGGCAAAACCCTTGTTGGCAATCACAGAGGTCAGACGTTTCTTGTAGTTGGCCACCAGGTTTGCACACATCTCAGGAGGGATTTTGTTCCACTCCTCTTTGCAGATCTTCTCCAAGTCATTAAGGTTTCGAGGCTGATGTTTGGCAACTCGAACCTTCAGCTCCCTCCACAGATTTTCTATGGGATTAAGGTCTGGAGACTGGCTAGGCCACTCCAGGACCTTAATGTGCTTCTTCTTGAGCCACTCCTTTGTTGCCTTGGCCGTGTGTTTTGGGTCATTGTCATGCTGGAATACCCATTCACAACCCATTTTCAATGCCCTGGCTGAGGGAAGGAGGTTCTCACCCAAGATTTGACAGTACATGGACCCGTCCATCGTCCCTTTGATGCGGTAAAGTTGTCCTGTCCCCTTAGCAGAAAAACACCCCCAAAGCATAATGTTTCCACCTCCATGTTTGACGGTGGGGATGGTGTTCTTGGGGTCATAGGCAGCATTCCTCCTCCTCCAAATCATTCAGATCTTCATTGGCAAACTTCAGACGGCCCTGTATATGTGCTTTCTTGAGCAGGGGGACCTTGCGGGCGCTGCAGGATTTCAGTCCTTCACGGCGTAGTGTGTTACCAATTGTTTTCTTGGTGACTATGGTCCCAGCTTCCTTGAGATCATTGACAAGATCCTCCCGTGTAGTTCTGGGCTGATTCCTCACCGTTCTCATGATCATTGTAACTCCACGAGGTGAGATCTTGCATGGAGCCCCAGGCCGAGGGAGATTGACAGTTATTTTGTGTTACTTCCATTTGCAAATAATCGCACCAACTGTTGTCACCTTCTCACCAAGCTGCTTGGCGATGGTCTTGTAGCCCATTCCAGCCTTGTGTAGGTCTACAATCTTGTCCCTGACATCCTTGGAGAGCTCTTTGGTCTTGGCCATGGTGGAGAGTTTGGAATCTGATTGATTGCTTCTGTGGACAGGTGTCTTTTATACAGGTAACAAGCTGAGATTAGGAGCACTTTAAGAGTGTGCTCCTAATCTCAGTTTGTTACCTGTATAAAAGACACCTGGGAGCCAGAAATCTTTCTGATTGAGAGGGGGTCAAATACTTATTTCCCTCATTAAAATGCAAATCAATTTATAAAAAAATGTACATGCGTTTTTCTGGATTTTGTTGTTGTTATTATGTCTCTCACTGTTCAAATAAACCTACCATTAAAATGATAGACTGATCATTTCTTTGTCAGTGGGCAAACATACAAAATCAGCAGTGGATCAAATACTTTTTTCCCTCACTGTACATGTACATCTACAGATGATTTGTTGTTTGATGTTAGCCTACACATTTCTTTGGATTCTCAACATACACTGAGTGTACAAATCATTAAGAACTCTTGCTCTTTCCATGACATAGACTGACCAGGTGAATCCAGGTGAAAGCTATGATCCCTTATTGAGGTCACTTGTTAAATCCACTTCAATCAGTGTAGATGAAGGGGAGGAGACAGGTTAAATAAGGATTTTTAAGCCTTGAGACAATTGAGACATGGATTGTGTATGTTTGCCATTCAGCGGGTGATTGGGCAAGACAAAATATTTAAGTGCCTTTGAACGGGGTACGGTAGTAGGTGCCAGGCGCACTGCAACGCTGCTGGGTTTTTCACGCTCAACAGTTTCCAGTGTGTATCAAGAATGGTCCACCACCCAAAGGACATTCAGCCAACTTGACACAACTGTGGGAAGCATTGGAGTCAACATGGGCCAGCATCCCTGTGGAATGCTCCCTGTGGAATTCCATAAAGTGAGTGTGGAAGAGGTGAAAAAAATAATTGTTGTCTATCAACAATGACAAGCCACCGGGGTCTGACAACTTGGATGGAAAATTACTGAGGATAATAGCGGAAGATATTGCCACTCCTATTTGCCATATATTCAATTTAAGCCTACTAGAAAGTGTGTGCCCCAAGGCTTGGAGGGAAGCAAAAGTTATTCCGTTACCCAAGAATAGTAAAGCCCCCTTTACTGGCTCAAATAGCCGACCAATCAGCCTGTTACCAACCCTTAGTAAGCTTTTGGAAAAAATGGTGTTTGACCAGATATAATGATATTTTACTGTAAACAAATTGACAACAGACTTTCAGCACGTTTATAGGGAAGGACATTCAACAAGCACGGCACTTACACAAATGACTGATGATTGGCTGAGAGAAATTGATGATAAAAATATTGTGGGAGCTGTTTTGTTAGACTTCAGTGCAGCTTTTGACATTATCGATCATAGTCAACTGATTGAAAATGTATGTGTTATGGCTTTACACCCCCTGCTATATTGTGGATAAAGAGTTACCTGTCAAACAGAACACAGAGGGTGTTCTTTAATGGAAGCCTCTCCAACATAATCCAGGTAGAATCAGGAATTCCCCAGGGCAGCTGTCTAGGCACCTTACTTTTTTCAATCTTTACTAATGACATGCCACTGGCCTTGAGTAAAGCCAGTGTGTCCATGTATGCGGATGACTCAACACTATACACATCAGCTACTACAGCGAGTGAAATCACTGCAGCACTTAAGAGCTGCAGTTAGTTTCAGAATGGGTGGCAAGGAATAAGTTAGTCCTAAATATTTCTAAAACTAAAAGCATTGTATTTGGGAATAAATAATTCACTAAACCCTAAACCTCAACTAAATCTTGTAATAAATAATGTGGAAATTGATCAGGTTGAGGTGACTAAACTTCTTGGAGTAACCCTGGATTGTAAACTGTCATGGTCAAAACATGTTGATACAACAGTAGCTAAAATGGGGAGAAGTCTCTCCATAATAAAGCGCAGTCTCTGCCTTTTTAACAACACTATCAAAAAGGCAGGTCCAACAGGCTTTAGTTTTGTCTGTTCAGTCGTGTGGTCAGGTGCCACAAAGAGGGACCTCGGAAAATTACAATTGGCCCAGAACAGGGCAGCACGGCTGGCCCTTAAATGTACACAGAGAGCTAACATTAATAATATGCATGTAAATCTCTCATAGCTCAAAGTGGAGGAGAGATTGACTTCATCACTACTTGTTTTTGTAAGAAGTGTTGACATGCTGGATGCACCATGGTGTCTGTTTTAAACTACTAGCACACAGCTCGGACACCCATGCATACCCCACAAGACATGCCACCAAAGGTCTCTTCACAATCCCCAAGTCAAGAACGGACTATGGGAGGTGCACAGTTCTACATAGAGACATGGCTACATGGAACTCTATTACACACCAGGTAACTGATGCAAGCAGTAGAATCAGATTTTTTAAAAACAGATAAAAAGGCATTTTGTGGAACGGCGGGGACTGTGAAGAGACACACACACAGGCACAGACACACATTCACATGATAAGACACGCACTCTACACACACGTACACATGGATTTTGTATTGTAGATATGTGATAGTAGAGTAGTGGCCTGAGGGAACACACTTAATGTGTTATGAAATGTAATGTCATGTAATATTTTAAATTGTATATAACTGCCTTAATGTTGCTGGACCCCAGGAAGAGGCAGCAGCTAATGGGGATCCTTAATAAATACAAAATACAAACACCTTGTAGAGTCCATGCCCCGACGAATTGAGGCTGTTCTGAGGTCAAAAAGGGGTTTCTTAATGTTTTGTTAATGTTTTGTACACTCCGTGTATAAAGTGCCAATAATCTGACAGAAACGGTACCACGTCAGTAACCCCTATTGAATGTACAGTACTACATCATAAATATAACTCATTATTAGATCACTAACTCTGATGTTTTGCAAACCTCTGTATTTACATTTATTTTACCCTCTTTATCTATTTTTGTAGAGGCCAACATGGTGTCCCAGACTGAGTGGACGTTTTATCCCAACTTTGGTCAGCCCAGAACCTTCCATGTTGGCAAACGCTGTTTGCTGGAGGGAGGTCACCATTATAGGACCATACGGTGCTCTTCAGAGAGAACTCTGGAGGCCACCATCGGGAGGAAAAAACAAGGTATGTACAGCAAATATTCTGTAGTAGTGAAGACTCATACGTTTTGCCAAATTATTATTGAAACATGATTATCCGATGAAGGCTATCGTGTTAAAGTTGATAAGTAGTTTATGATTATCTGCGGTTATGTTTAGGCTATCTGATGTTAAATTGGAATGCATGATTTAGGTTAATAGAAGAATACATTCTAGCTCTGCTATGCTCGGTGTAATCTCTTGTGGACAGACTAAGTAAACATAAAATTACACACAATTTTATTTCTGGGTTAACCAAGATTATGCTCAGTGTTAAATGTATCATAATCTCGGTTAACCTAGATCTAAAATCGTGCATAATTTGGTCAGATGCTCGATTACGTTTACGTAGTCTGTCCACGAGAGAATAAATGAATCATAATGTAACCGCTTGTTCCTCCATTCCAGTCAAGTTTACCTGCCATTCTGCACCTGGTTCTAGACCCTATCTAACACCTGAGTACAGTCCTGACTTTCACAAGTTTGGATCAACATTACCAACAACACATTTTGGGTGAGGTTTTTGTTTTCCCTCAGCTGTGTTGATATTAAATTGGATTGAAATACGATATATACAGTAGGCTCCAGTGCAGTAGATGCAGTGCATTCAGAAAGTATTCAGACCACTTGACTTTTTCCACATTTTGTTTTGTTACAGGCTTATTCTAAAATGGATTAAATTAAAATGTTCCTAATCAATCTACACGCAATACCCCATAATGACAAAGCGAAAACAGGTTTTAAGAAATTGTTGTAGAAAACAAAAAACGTATTTACATAAGTATTCAGACCCTTTGCTATGAGACTCAAAATTGAGCTCAGGTGCATCCTGTTTCCATTGATCATCCTTGATGTTTCTACAACTTGATTGGAGTCCACATGTGATACATTCCATTGATTGTACATTATTTGGAAAGGCACACACCTGTCCCACAGGTGACAGTGCATGTCAGAGCAAAAACCAAGCCATGAGGTCAAAGGAATTGTCCGTAGAGCTCCGAGACAGGATTGTGTCGAGGCACAGATCTGGGGAAGGGTACCGAAAAAATGTCTGCATCATTGAAGGTCCCCAAGAACACAGTGGCCTCCATCATTCTTAAATGGAAGAAGTTTGGAACCACCAAGACTCTTCCTAGAGCTGGCCACCCGGCCAAACTGAGCAATCGGGGGAGAAGGGCCTTGGTCAGGGAGGTGACCAAGAACCCGATGGTCACTCTGACAGAGCTCAGAGTTCCTCTGTGGAGATGGGAGAACCTTCCAGAAGGACAACCATCTCTGCAGCACTCCACCAATCAGGCCTTTATGGTAGAGTGGCCAAACGAAGCCACTCCTCAGTAAAAGGCACATGACAGCCCGCTTGGAGTTTGCCAAAAGACACCTGAAGGACTCTCCGACCATGAGAAAAAAGATTATCTGGTCTGATGAAACCAAGATTGAACTCTTTGGACTGAATGCCAAGTGTCAATTCTGGAGGAAACCTGGCACCATCCCTACGGTGAAGCATGGTGGTGGCAGCATCATGCTGTGGGGATGTTTTTCAGTGGCAGGGACTGGGAGACTAGTCAGGATCGAAGGAAAGATGAACGGAGCAAAGTACAGAGAGATCCTTGATGAAAACCTGCTCAGGACCTCAGACTGGGGTGAAGGTTCACCTTCCAACAGGATAATGACCCTAAGCACACAGCCAAGACAACGCAGGAGTGGCTTCGGGACAAGTCTCTGAATGTCCTTGAGTGGCCCAGCCAGCGCCCGGACTTGAACCCGATCGAACATCTCTGAAGAGACTTGAAAATAGCTGTGCAGCAACGCTCCTCATCCAACCTGACAGAGCTTGATAGGATCTGCAGAGAAGAATGGGAGAAACTCCCCAAATACAGGTGTGCCAAGCTTGTAGCGTCATACCCAAGAAGACTTGAGGCTGTAATCGCTGCCAAAGGTGCTTCAACAAAGTACTGAGTACAGGGTCTGAATACTTATGTAAATGTCATATTTCCATTTTTCTTTTTTTATACATTTGATAACATTTCTAAAAAACGTTTTTCTTTGTCATTATGGGGTATTGTGTGTAGATTGATGAGAAAATAAAACAATTTAATACATTTTAGAATAAGGCTGTAACGTAACAAAATGTGGAAAAAGTCTTAGGGGTCTGAATACTTTCCGAATGCACTATACACAGTAGCTCTGTCTTCTTTTCAGACATGAAGTACTACAGATGGCTAACAGATGGTGCTATTGGTCTTTAAATTGCCCAGTTTCAAAGAACAACCAGCAAGTGTACAACAATTTAGCACATAGTGGGCATCCCAATAATCTCTCCTTTCTCCTGAAGTGTACAGTCGTTCACTACTTCCAACCAATATAAAAGCAGTAGGTTGGTGGAGTCATGGGGCAGTGGCTGTTTCCACCATATTTCAGTGATATCCTTTCAAATCATTGAAGTGGAGCGGACAAGTGCACACTTTGGGAGGAAGGAGAGATAATTGAGACAACCACAGTTTCACATTTGTGAAAAGATGCGTATCAGCATGCTCAGTGATGTGTGATAGTGGTTTCATACTCACAGTGAAATTGTCCTCCTCTGTAGGTCACTGACCTTCAGTGCAGACACATTTGTTCCTCTTCAGCCACCTCCAAAAAAGACATGGTGAGACATAAAACCAATTAAGATCACTTTTAAACTACTGCACTTCTGGAGACCTGGGGAAGTAGAATTGTATTTAACAAGTTATATTATTTATGCATATGTACATGATTGATGCAAGGTTTAGATGAAGAGGCATTCCAGATGTATAGTATGTTTTGCCATTTATTTGTGGCTGGTGTGTGTGATGTCTTTCCACAGTATTCCATATGTAGCGAGGAAGAGGATGGAGGACAGGGAGGCAGACATCCTGGAAGTGAAGAAGCTGAGTAAATGGAGGCCTGCACCAGTCATATTCAAAACTGTGCTGGACAACTGACATGTCAAAATGTTTTTTGGATGAATGAGGAGAAATGGATTACAATTCCAAACTGTATATTATGATCATTTTGAAGTTTGGGGGGGGGGGGTCGAAGATGTAATAAAGTCCGACTAATTGTCATGAAATCGTTTTGAGCTTTTGACATCATCACTATGCACATTTTAGCAATTGGGTTATGTAATTTGCTGAGGGGAAATAAACAACAATACAATTTCAAGCAGGGAAAAACAGTTCCCAGGTGGCATGACTTTGCTGAGTTGCAAAAGCCATTAGGTCAGCAACAGTTAATAACCTGACCTCTGTTTTGCCTTATAGTCTGGCAGAGGTGCATCACATAGACTTCCTTAATTCCCAGGGGAAGATAAGTGGTGGGCTCAATCCCTCATTCAGCAAAACAACACTGCTGATCCCGTTCAGGATAGACCGGGACAACTAGGGCGGCCATTTATATCTGCTTAGTCACTTCAGGATGCCTCAAGGTTAGGAAGGGGGAGGGGGGGGGGGGGGGTGTACAAGTTTTTAATAATGGTCCCTTGTGTCTATGCATTCATGACATGTTGGATCAAGGAAACTCAGAATTTTATGACATGGAAACTCATTGTAGAAAGATGATAGGCGGTAGGCCTACCCGAGCTTCCCAATTGGAAAGTATCAGAATCAACCAATAGGAAGCTCCACACAAATAACTTGCATTAATTTTAATTCTGAGGTTTGGAGTTTCCGGCTTGTGATGAATGCAGCATATGTGTTAAGGTACGTTTTCATTTGTGGAGGCTTTCCAGACAGACAAGCGATAGGCAGAGCGGGGTTCGTATAGCTCAGTGGGTTTGCCTGGGCAAAATATGGAAGCTATAGAAAAGCATTTATTAATGTCTACATTCGTTTTTGCCACATTTATTCTATTACAGACACCTTAATGCATACTTTTAAATGATGCTATGTGAGTTAAACATACAAATAAAATAAAACATGGAAAAATATTTTACATTCTTTACAGTATAATTTTTTTGAGATTACTAATGTTACTGTCCCACAAAAACAAACAAACAAAACAAACAAACAAACAAAAAAAAATATATATATACATGTAATTTTGTCCATTTAATTGAAATACTGTAGAATTCCATTAATTCCTATGGAGGGCTGCTCCTACTGGGGAGTGCCAATACGGCCGACCGGTGCCTTCAAAGCCTCTCAATGGCCAATAAATAGCATCAGCAATCCAGGGTTTATATACATCATTTGTACCCACTTGTACTACGTATGTGAAGCTAGCCACAATAAGGATTAGCCACAATAGGGGAATTTGCGTTTCGCCTACAAAATCAAAGTCCCTCATTGAAAGTGAAGCAAACGGATACAAATAGTGAAATCATGCCATATTTGCACTAAATAAGGATTAACAAGGTTGGAATATTATTACATAATTTAAGATGAAATACAACAATTTATTAGTGTGACAATAAACAGAAAGTATTCAGACCCCTTGACTTTTGTTACGTTACAGCCTTATTCTAAAATGGATTAAATAAAACATTTTCCTCATCAATCTACACACAATACCTTATAATGACAAAGCGAAGACAGGTTTTTAGAAATTTTTGCAAATGTATCACATTTACATTTGAGTCATTTAGCAGACGTTCTTATCCAGAGCGACTTACAGTTAGTGCATACATTACTTTTTTTATTTTATTTTTTATTAATGTTTTATATCCCCCGTGAGAAACGAACCCACAACCCTGGCGTTGCAAACGCCATGCTCTACGAACTGAGCTACATCCCCTGCCGGCCATTCCCTCCCCTACCCTAGACGATGCTGGGCCAATTGTGCGCCCCCCATGGGTCTCCCGGTCGCGGCCGGCTACGACAGAGCCTGGATTCAAACCAGGATCTCTAGTGGCACAGCTAGCACTGCGATGCAGTGCCTTAGACCACTGCACCACTCGGAAAACAGAAAACAGAAATACCTTATTTACATAAGTATCCTTCGCTATGAGACTCGAAATTGAGCGCCAGGTGCATCCTGTTTCCATTAATCATCCTTGAGATGTTTCTACAACTTGCTTGGAGTCCACCTGTGGTAAATTCAATTGATTGGACATGATTTGGAAAGGCACACACCTGTCTATATATGGTCCCACAGTTGACAGTGCATGTCAGAGCCCTCTCTGTACTTTGCTCCGTTCATCTTTCTCTCGATCCTGACTAGTCTCCCAGTCCCTGCCGCTGAAAAACATCCCCACAGCATGACGCTGCCACCACCATGCTTCACCGTAGGGATGGTGCTAGGTTTCCTCCAGACGTGACGCTTTGCATTCATGCCAAAGAGATCAATATTGGTTTCATCAGATCAGAGAATCTTGTTTCTTATGGTCAGTCCTTTAGGTGCCTTTTGGCAAACTCCAAGCGGGCTGTCATGTGCCTTTTACTGAGGAGTGGCTTCCGTTTGGCCACTCTACCATAAAGGCCTGATTGGTGGAGTGCTGCAGAGATGGTTGTCCTTCTGGAAGGTTCTCCCATCTACACAGAGGAACTCTGGAGCTCTGTCAGAGTGACCATCAGGTTCTTGGTCACCCTCTGACCAAGGCCCTTCTCCCCGATTGCTCAGTTTGGCCGGGTGGCCAGCTCTAGGAAGAGTCTTGGTGGTTCCAAACTTCTTCCATTTAAGAATGATGGAGGCCACTGTGTTCTTGGGGACCTTTAATGCTGCAGACATTTTTTGGTAGCCTTCCCCAGATCTGCGCCTTGACACAATACTGTCTCGGAGCTCTACGGACAATTCCTTCGACCTCATGACTTGGTTTTTGCTCTGACGTGCACTGTCAACTGTGGGACCTTATATAGACAGGTGTGTGCCTTTCCAAATCATGTCCAATCAATTGAATTTACCACAGGTGGACTCCAATCAAGTTTTAGAATAAGGCTGCAACGTAACAAAATGTGAAAAAAGTCAAGGGGTCTGAATACTTTCCGAATGCACTGTATTCTCCACACACCCCTCCCCTTCTTCTTGTCTCAATATTTTAAATTATACTCGAGACACATTATCTTCACACATTTTAGAGACTTTTCACTGACAGTTGCAACTCAATAATCAGCTAGGCCTATTGCCACGCGCACTGCCCAAATTGTTGGCTTCCCAAATAGGCATAGGCCTTTGCACTTGTGATTTGAAACAATCCACAGCTATTTTTTTATTTCTTAAATAACGTAATGATCCTCTGTGGCTAACTCAAGCTCTCTGGTAAAGTATTTTGAATTATTTTATTTAGACAGAAGTAATTATATAATTTTGGCAAAACCTCAATTTACTTTAGGGGAAGCCAGCATCCAAACTGTGCACCCGTCAACTTTTATTTTAATTCGCAAGTGGCTGAAACCAGAGATCTGTATATAATGACAAGATGCTCATGTCTCTGAGAGTGAGCCCTCTGGCTTCACCACTTCCTCTCTGCTGAAACTAGCAAGGGAAACAGCACCCCTCTCTGTCTTACTATATGTAGCCCATGTGTCTCATGCCATCTGGCCAGAAAAAGTATGACATGCCATACTCTTTTTGTCCAGACTGTTTGGCACGCTCGGATGCTTTATCTGAGATTGATGCGTCTTTCTGTCGGCGCGTGTCTCGGCCTACAATTATTTTGTGAATAAAACAAAAAATGCTTACTGCCCGCCTGCCCATAAGACCAAGACGATAAACACGTTTACCTTTTCCAAAACACCAACATGCTCTGGAAATCGGTTTGCCATAGAGTGTCTTTCAGAGAATTTGCTAATAAGTACCCTACACAACTACTATATATAAAAAAGGCAAGAATGTAATGTAACAACAACGTAGGCCTAATTCCCAAGGTTTCCCATTAGAATTTGTTGTTGTTGTATTGATTAGGATTTAATCACAGAAAGAAAGCCTGCCATTCATGGCTCCTAAAAACGGATCCATCTTTTACTGTTTTCAATGGGCTGAATGTGAAAGCCTCCCATTTCGAGTTACTGACAAACTGTGTTGTCAGCACATCATTTGTAATGTGGATACAAATGACTGCTTTACAACTGCATTGTTATGCAAACTGCAGATCATTTTTCATAGATACAGTTGAAGTCGGAAGTTTAAATACACTTAGGTTGAAGTCATTAAAACTCGTTTTTCAACCACTCCACAAATTTCTTGTTAACAAACTATAGTTTTGGCAAATCGGTTAGGACATCTACTTTGTTCATGACACAAGTAATTTTTCCAACAATTGTTTACAGAAAAATTATTTCACTTAAAATTAACTGTATCACAAATCCAGTGGGTCAGAAGTTTACATACACTAAGTTGACTGTGCCTTTAAACAGCTTGGAAAATTCCAGAAAATGATGTCATGGCTTTAGAAGCTTCTGATAGGCTAATTGACATCATTTGAGTCAATTGGAGGTGTACCTGTGGATGTATTTCAAGGCCTACCTTCAAACTCAGTGCCTCTTTGCTTGACATCATGGGAAAATGAAAAGAAATCAGCCAAGACCTCAGAAAAAAATTGTAGACCTCCACAAGTCTGGTTCATCCTTGGGAGAAATTTCCAACTGCCTGAAGGTACCACGTTCATCTGTACAAACAATAGTATGCAAGTATAAACACCATGGGACCACGCAGCCGTCATACTGCTCAGGAAGGTGACAGGTTCTGTCTCCTAGAGATGAATGTACTTTGGTGCGAAAAGTGCAAATCAATCCCAGAACAACAGCAAAAGACCTTGTGAAGATGCTGAAGGAAACAGGTACAAAAGTACCTGTATCCAAAGTAAAACAAGTCATATATCAACATAACCTGAAAGGCCACTCAGCAAGGAAGAAGCCACTGCTCCAAAACCACCATAAAAAAGCCAGACTACGGTTTGCAACTGCACATGGGGACAAAGATCTTACTTTTTGGAGAAATGTCCTCTGGTCTCCATCGTTATGTTTGGAGGAAAAAGTGGGTTGCTTGCAAGCCGAAGAACACCATCCCA